CCTCTCAGCTGTCACAGGAGTTGCAGCACAGTGCTGTGCTGCAACTCTTGCATTGGAGGTGAAAGGTTCAGTAAAGAGAACCTGTCACCTCAATATGCTATCACACAGGGGCTTGTTAGCTTCTGTGTGAGAGCAATAAAGTTAAGTTAAAAAAAATAAAATTAAGTTAAAAATAAAATTTGATAAAACATTATAAAATAAATAAAAATTAAGAAAAAATAATAATTAAAATGATAAAAAGTAAAAGATAGTAAGAATAAAAAATAAAAAAAAGTAACAAATAATAAGAAAAAAAATCACAGAGTACAGAAATGTCACCAGCACACCATTTAAACATGAAGCAAATTCAGTTTAAGGACACATGCATGTCATTCAGTGCAAACGTTTTCAGGGCCTCACAGGGTCCACTTCATCAGGCTCAGAATGACGTCATTCTGAGCCTAATGAAAGGGACCCTGTGAGGCCCCCGAAAACGTTTGCACTGAATGACATGCATGTGTCCTTAAAGGAGAACTATGAGGTGAGTGCTTTTCACTCACCTCATAGTTCTAGCCGACCTGTGACAATGAGACTGTCACAGGTCGGCTCAGTAGATCGGGAGGTGAGGGAACACATACCGAAGCTGTCACTCAGACAGCTGGGCGGATCTTGACATCGATGTCGGGATCCGCTCCGGCGACTCAGTATATAGGGAGCTACATCACGCGGTATACTGAGCTTAGGGTAACGGGAGGACGCTAGTTTGTGTCCTCCCGTTACCCTAAGGAGAACTATGAGGAAAAGCCCTGACCCCATAGTTCTCCTTTAAAGTGACATTGAACCCTCAGATTTTTTAACATAAACCAATACTGTAATGTGCGCCTTACTGTAATCCATGGTAGTTTCCCTTCTCTTTGCTGTTCTTCCTTTTAAATCCTCATGTCTTCTCATGCTGGGGGAGAACTTCCCTTTGCAGCTGAGTGCCCCTTCCTGTAGTGCTGGCTCAGGTTGTGAACCTGCACACAGACACCGTGTATCCATTCCAGAGACAAGGCAGTCTGCTGCAAAACAGAAGTTCTCCCCAGCATGAGAAGATATACGGATTTAAAAGGAAGAGCAGCAAAGAGAAGGGAAACTACCATGGATTTCAGTAA